CTTTTTTTTCTTTCTTTCTCTTCTTCTCTTCTTCTCTTCTTCTTCTTCATGATTTAAAAAAATCAATATGGCACTCTTTTCTCTTACAACATTAATATGAATGTATTCACTCTGCTTTCTCATCAGTGAAAAGAACATACTTACTGCTGTCACAGCTATCTCATATAAATAACTCTGCTCTGATGAAGTTCATTGCTCACTGTACATATCTATTCAGTATGAAAAGTATAATAAGAATGAAATAAAATACTAACTCTGATAATTAGTCCTTCTCTTCACACCTGCACTTATGTCTATTCTCACTTCTCTGTTCTCACTCTCACTCTCATTCTCACCTGTGAGAATGAGAGTGAGAAAGTGTCTGAGACTTCTTTCTCTTCTTTGAAGAACAGAGATAATGAGCTGAACTTGTTCAGATAGATATAGAAAGCTCTCTTTAAATGAGTGTAATATAATAAGAGAATAAGAAGCTAATATTATTGTATAGCAGTTCTTACTCTCATTTCTCTCTCTCTTTCTCAGACTTCTTCTCTTCTCTGTTCTTTACAGAGAAAGAAGTTTCATTGAAATCAATCAAGTAAATAATATGAATATGAATGAGATATATGTGATAGAGAAAGAATCAATCACTGACATGTTATATTAGCTTTCTCTCCCTCTCTTCAGAGTCATTATAATCTCTCTCATTCTTCTCATTCTTCTTACTCTCTGCACTGATGAGCTCATCTCTTCTATTCTCTCAGCTATTCTCTGTGTTGAGCACTCTCTTCTCTCTGCTGCTGCTGCCACTGTTAACAATATCATATAGTGTCTTTCTTCTCTTCAACACTTTGTCTGCTAGCTGTGTCTGTTGAGAGCAGACACAGCTGGCAAGTCAGTCAAGACAGAATTGAAATTGAATGATGAGTAAGAGCTCATCATTCTATCAGTCTCAGAAATCAGAGAAATGATGATCAGTCTTTTATAAGAAGTTTCAGTGCTTCTCTCTACAGAAGTAGAGAGTGTGAGATTATATTAACTGAATAATAGAGACAGAGCTGAGTGAGCAGCTGCTGAGAAAGAACAGATATACTGTCTGTTAAGAGAATAATGAGAAATATTGAGTATACTCTGAGAAGAAGAGAGCTTAGATAGTTAAATCTGAGAATTCTTATTCTCACTACTGAGTTATTATATACAAGAGTGAATGTAGCATCTTTAAATACAAGCTCAAGAATCTCAGTGCATTCTCACTAATACAGTTACATTAATTACTGTTAAAGAAGTTATCTTCTTCTTCACTGAGAAGCAGTGCTCTGATAGTTTAGATTCTTATTTTATTTATACTGCTCTACTTTATGAAGAAGATTTCAAGTAGAACTCTAATAAATAAGTAATTTATATAGATGAATATATTAAAGATTCTATATAGACATTCTTTACAAGTATCAGTTATAAATATAAATTAATTAATATTAAAAAATAATATCTCAAAAATAATATTTGTCAGATATTAGTCATATTTATTTTAAATCTTGATATTTAATTAACTTATAAGTTGACAGAACAATGCAGAAGTTCTATTATTAATATATTTATCAGTGAAAATGTAATATTGTATATTAAAGAAAGATGAAGTAAGTAAAGCTTCAGTATATTCATCAATTTTAGTTATTCTTCTTGAGAATTGTTTTTAAAGTATCAGATAGATTATTTACAGTAGATAAAGATAATATATTTTTAATAAAAATAGAATCTTACTCTATATTATCATTGAATTTCTTAGAATAAGACTTAACTTCAGTATTAATAATTATATCATTTAAATTCAAGTTCATTGCAATCAACTGCTGCTGAATTCATACTTAATTAAAGTACTCAATCTTCTTCTTCAGATCTTTCACTTCAATTAAAAGTATATTCAAGAAGTCAAATATACATTTCTTTGATAGTAAAAGTAAATCTCAAGATGAGATATAATCATTCTTTAATAGACTTCTAATAGTAGAGAATATCTCAAGCTTAGTAACAGCACTTATATATTTCTCAGTAAGTGAATACTCAAAGATAGACTTTAAAATTCACTGTAGCTGATGAATTCATGTATTTAACAGACAGACTTAATTAAATATAAGATAAATATTCTTTATTGAATTTTTATAGCATTTTATCTTCAGCTTATAGTTATTATTGAGATATTTCATATCTAGATCAATTGCTTTGAAGAAGCTAAGTTTTTCAGATCAGTTAATAAGACTCACAGTTATAATTACTTAATACAGAGAAGAGATTTTAATAAATTAAAGTATTTAAAAATAATAAAGCATCTCAGTGATATAATTATATTAATCAGCATTAAGAAAGAAGATAATCAGAGATGAAATGAAGTACTCAAGAAGTTCAATATTATCATACTTAATAGTATAGTATATTCAAATGAATAATTCACATTCTTAGAGAAGATAATATATAATACAGAATTCAATATCTTGAGTAAGCTGAGAGATTTGAGAGTTAATTTTATTTCAGATATCAAGAGTAAATACTTTGATATATATATCTTTAATAAGTTGAAGATACTGTGAAGAACTAAGCTATTATATAATAAAATTAATATCTTCTAAGTACTTAAGATTGTTAACTGAATAATCTCAATATTGTATAATAGTATAAAATAGAGTAAAATTTCAAGATATAAAACTCTGAGAAATCACTGACTTAAGAAGATAATATTTCAGATTAATAGCAGTCATAGAATTTCAGTTTTAATAAGTGAGATCAGACTGAATACAGTAATAAGTCTTCTCAGAGACTCTGACTTTAAAATGAGTATAGATAATGATGAAGAGTAGATTTATTTAAATATAAAATTATTCAGAAATAGAATGAAGTTAGTTATACTATTCAAAGATATCTGTAGATTTTAACTACTTCATCTTAATTAATTAAATAAGTTTTATGATCAAAGTATCTTCATACACTGAAAAGAGATAAGTTAAAAATGCTGTATAATCTCTTAATAAATTAAGAAAATCATTAAATATCTTCTTATAAACTCTCATAGTTCTCACAATAGTGCTCTCATTTTCAAAAATAGTATTCAACTGCTGAAAATACATTCTATACACAGAAAGTGTATTAATAACAGATATTTAAGATAATAAATTATTTACAGTACTGAAAACACTTTTAATCTTATTATTATGAATCTTTTGAACAGCATCTGAAATAAGATATAATATTATTTACTTTTAAAGTGTATTATTATTATCTGTCATATCAGATGTATTAATGATTTCTTACAGTGTTAATAGTTTTATAAAATCATGTATAATCTGAGTTAGATCAGTTTCTGAAATATTAGAAAAAATAATCATAGTAGTAGTAGTTACAGCAGTTATGAAATCATTGTATCTGATTATCTCATTTTATACAGTCTTCTTAAAGTTCATATTATCATAGATTATAATAGCTTGAGAATCTTTGACAAGCTACTGAAGTTTAATCTAATAGTAAGAATTAGTCAAGTGATTGAATCAGAAGTTAATAGAAGTTCAAAGAATATATTAGAAAATAACAGATATTATCAGAGATTATTAGAAGTTTGAGATATTAGATAGAAATATTAATAAGTTAAGAATATTAAGTTATATCTTCTCTTATTTAGTAATTTTCATTATTAATCTATTTCTTATCACATAGCTGTGACAGAGTTCAAAGTCAGAAATAATTTCTATCACTTATTATTTTACTTTTAAGTTATGAAAATATATAGAGAGAATAGAGCTGAAGAAGTTCAAGTTTTTTAAGAAATAAGAGTAATATATAATACTTATAATAATAAATAGCTGTTTAATAGCTGTTATTTCATCTGAGTCTCATTCATAGCTCTTTCAATTAATGTGTTTATTTTTTAGAATAGAAGTAAGTAGATCAAATCAGATTAATATATCAGTCTGAATAATCTCAAAAGCAGTCTGAAAGTTGATGATATTCAGATCAGAATTGTGATTGAATTTTATAAAGAAGAGAGTATTAATAAGATATTTTAGCTTCTATTTAAGCAAGATAGTATAATATTGATTATTATTAAATATTTCTGCTTTGAAAAGTGCTGAATATAGTATATTTCACTGCTTTATAGAAGTACTGTATTATTGATGAATTAAGATATCAGAACTCTGAATTCAAGTCTCTATAAAAGTCTTCATTTCTCAACTGTTTTACTGTAATATTCTAATAATATGAGATAATTTCAACTGTCTTTTCTATCAGTTATAAGATATTGTAGACAGATACTGTGAGTTATAATAATTTAATTATAAACAAGCTTGTAAGATATCAGTATTAGTATCAGTGATCTTAAATTCTGAAGAAGTATTAATAGATTCAAGCTCTATTAAGTTATTATCTGATATATTATATTCATTATCTACATTGTTGAGAGACTGTAGTAATTATAGAGAGAATTCATCTTTAAGTAATAAAGAATATTGACTGAAGTGTGTCTGACATTGAGTATCTTAAGATTCAAAAGACACACTGTCTTTTATCAATGATTATAATATGATGAGAAGAAGTAGTAAGTTATAAAATAGCAGAGATGATAGCAGAATGACTGAGAATTTAAAAAATATTAGTTTGATAATGATCAGACAGATATTTAGAATAGATATATAATTTCAAAATCAATTGAATATTTTATATGAGTGAAGTTGATTTTTTATATATAATAGAATCATTTCTTCTCAGACTCTCTACAAGATATTAGATTGTGAGCACATGTGAAGTCTCTTATTGATCCAGAAGTTAGCAGGACTTGGCAGAAGTCTAAAGAAGTTTAGTTGGTCGCGCTAATCCGAAAATATCGAGAAGAGAGGCTGAGCATGCTGAGATAACCTAATAACTCTAATAACTTGACTGTGTATCAATACGTATCCATTTCAACTTTGTAACTATTTATTATTCAAAAAAAAAAAAAAAAAAAAAAAAAAAAAAAAGAAAAAAAAAAAAAAAACAAAGCGAGAGAGAGAGAGTCTCGAGAAATATTGATTATTCCGAATTGATGCTAGAAATAACCATCGCCTGAAATGCACTAAGGTCAAAACGCTAAATCTAAGGGGTCTCTTGAAAATTCGAAACCGTGCAACGGAGACGGAGACGCAAAAGAAACAACGCCTCGAGTATGCAAAGTAGCAAAGTAAAAAGCCAGAATCACAAAAGCTAAGAATAACGATCCCAACCGTCGTAGCCTGCAACAAGCATCATAAACAAGATCGTCCCAAGGAATCATCACCTATATATGCGGGCAATTGTCACTCGAGGTGAAAAATACGCAACCATCGAAACCAGCGTAGAATCTCCCAATCTCCCAAGCCAGCGCCCCTTACGTTTCTGATCCTAGTAGAGGGTCGTTGACGGCGGTAATCTAATTTTATTTAAGGAAAAACCCTCATTAGCAGCAAAATTCCAAATTGCACCCGGACAAAAAAAAAAAAAAGAAATAGCTCACTTGAGAACTTCAAACTCCTTGTATCTTTGCAGGTAGCCGGGACCTCGCCGGTAAGCCTTTATCAGGCGACCCGGGTCCTGCGATGTAATGTGTTTGTTGCCAATAAGTCTCTCGATTGCTGGTGACGTTTTGAACATCGGGTCGAAGACGAGAAGGTTGGCGCTCCCGCTCTTGCGGGTTTCGAAACCGACGATCGTCACAGAGTGGCCTGGTATAATCGATTGTTAGCATAAAAACTGTCGGTACGGGACAATATTGGGATTGCTGTCTTTGTTTTGGCATTGCATACCTTCGTGCTGGAGATAGAGAGGCGGTAACTCAGTTTGGTTTATCTTTTCGTCGTTTGTCGGGCAGCCTTGGAGGAAGTACGCCAATATGTCATCGAGCAGGGCATTATGGGCAGAACTATCTTGTGTAGTGCCGAAGACTCCGGCCGTGCAGCTAGGAAGATGGGTCAGATTTTACTTGCTTGACAGAGTGACAGCAAGTTGGGGGAAATAGGGGACATACTTAATCCCTAAACTGAGGAAAAGGGCATGGGCCTGATCGTGAGTTATGAGTTAGTAAAGACGTGCATCTAAAGACATACATGCTTTCCACAATTTTTGGTGTCGAAAATTTTACCTCGGAAGTCCCAATATATTTTCTTGTTCCCTTAATCCCCCCAGTTTCGATTTGCGCCGTACTATTAAAGCCCAAGTCCCAGGCCTGCTCAATAAGGTCCTGCAATCGCAAGATTGTTGGGAGTCTACCAGGAAATTGTTCGTAGCCATCCGCGAGGGTATCTTGGATATAAGAAACTAGCATCTGGATATTTCTGTACCCGCAAAACCCGCCTTCTTTCGGCATCTTGAATACATGTCGCGTGGCCGGGTGGCAGAGAAACGCCTGTTCTACAGTTTGATCCAGCTCGCAAAGCTGCGCAAGTACAGTTATAAGATGCGAGGTCTCATTAGCCACAGATTCAACCCTGCGTAGGGTGCCATCTGTTTGAATCTGGTTGGACACTGTAACTTTTGCGCCTTCTTCTAACATATTCCTTAGCCATGATGGCATTTGCTTTTCGTGTGCGTATGGCCCCAACTCCGATCTCTGAGAAGGCACATTAATATGAATCAGCGAATTGACCGAAAGGGGGAAGCAGAGGTCGAAGATTGGGTAGACTTACTCCAAGTCGACGCACAAAACCTCCACCAGCGTCACGATGTTTTCGTTTTGATTTGCGTTTCCTTTTTTCCGACGGTCCAGATGTTGCCTTTGAGTCTCTATGTGAGCCCTTGCGGGAAGATTTTGGCTGGAGGACATTATCCCTATTGCGAAGGGCCTTGGGCAGCTTTGTAGAAAATCGACTTTCGATATCGTCGTATGTATAATCTACATTTGCATCATCACTCTCCGCCTCCAACGATTCGCCTTTGGTAACCACGCCACCAGGTGCTTCTTCAAAAGTCATGCCTTCAGCCATATGAAGGTCCAGGTGGGTTGAAAGCTCAGTGGTAGAGATGATCTCGCCGCAGTCATGGGGACAGTCGACGTAGCCGTCGAGAGGCTCATCATCATTGGTGGCGGGCTCTGCGGAAAGCCCTGCGGAACCCTCCAATATGTGGTCTGTGTTATGCTTCGAATTTTGGGGGGTCGGAGAGGGTTCCTCAGTCGCAATAAACGGCGACGTTCCATTTTCAGGGTGGCAGAGCTCTACATGCTGGGTTAGGAAATAGGGATCGGAATCTGAAAATTCACAGAATGGGCATGGCAAGACATCGCCTTCCATGCTGTCTTGAGCTATCAGAAAGAGGCTCGTGGATAAACTTTTAAATTTGAAATATGTAGCTTCCGCGGTAGATCAAGCAATGACACGAACAGATAATGAGATGGGGTTAGTTAAATATGCCAAAACTCCACACTTCCTGCGTTGGTTGCTTGCTTGCTTCTCCCCACGCCGTAGTTGGTGAAGAGAGGTTGAAGTTGAAATTAACTAAATTGTGCTGCTGGCTCCTCTTGTTGCTATTATTGTAGTTGTTGGTGTCAAGGCGATGAATGAATTTCGATTGGACACCGCCCAGCCCTGTCAAAAGCACATGACATGGCGGTAGGTAGGGCTGCAATCTAATCAGATCGGATCTAATGTAATGTATGTACGGAGTTACGTGCGGCATGGAATAATGAAATGTTCGCATATAATAATATCCATACAAACATTTGATTCATTTCCTTGGTACGTTCGTCTTCCAGAAAATACGTTGGCAGATTGGATTTGCTTTGTTCTTGACGCTGTTGAGCACCGAAACTTACTAGCAGCAGGCATTTTGATACCCAATATTGGCGTATTGATATAGTAGCTCTACACATTAATAGTATTCTGAAAAAATGTAGAAAATTGTAAATCTATATATATCTAGTTTATTCATGCTCAATACTTTGGATCTGCTTTTCCTCGACTCCAACGCCTGGTCGGTCCGTAGTTTCACCTAAGCAGCCCGAACCAACCCCGCGAAACAAACAGAACAAACACCCCTTCCAATAGCCAAAGGGTCAGGAAAACGTTTTCCTGAAGAAAAAAAAAAAGAGTAAAAGTGGACAAGTAACGAATAAATAACAATTCTGTTACGAATACTTTGGAATCTCTTGGCTATCATTTCTGACTCCTCCTGTTTATTCCATTATTCCATGACAAGATCTATTATCTAAAACGAACACCGCTATCTTCGAATAATAAATACTGTAACATATCTCCCAAAGAAGCGCCCAAAGGAGGAAAAAGAAAGAAATAAGAATGGTTTGTGCTAGTTGTGTTAGCTCGGATTGCGTGATCCACCGGCGCCGCTAAACGGACCAACCCGATTTTCGTTAGTTATCTGGGGGCAGAATTTAAAAAAAAAAAAAAAAATTTACAAAAAAAAGACCACAGAGAACGAACGAGTTGACTGACTATCTTCTTCTTATTATTATTTTTCTCCCGTTGAAGGTTAGCTAGCTGGTTATTTTTATCTTTTTTCCAACTCTGCGCGGGCTGCTATCCTCGTCCTTTGCCTCCTTCATCAATTCTATACTCTCTTCTCTCAATCTTTCACTCATCTTCGCCTCTCCTGGTCAGAACACATCGAGCAAACCCAAGGCTTATGCCTTTTCGCTCTCCTCTCCCTCTTGGTCACGCACGATGAGCTTCCTCCCACACCTGGGCGTAAATGGAACCGACAACGTTCCTCTCACCAATGGCATAACTGCGCATCCTACAGAATGGGTTGTCCAGAAGTTTGGAGGAACAAGCGTGGGGAAGTTCGCTGTTGATATCGTGGATCGTGTCATATAGTAAGAACAATTACCCCTCCTCCCCCTCCAAATTTTTTTTTTCTTTCTCTCTGTTTCCTTTTTGGATAATTGAATTAACGCTCCTCTTCTCCGATCTATAGCCCCAGTACCCTAACACATAGAGTTGCTGTCGTGTGCTCAGCCAGAAGTAGTTCATCCAAAGCAGACGGGACCACAAATCGGTGAGTCATAGGCATATAAATAACCTCCACTACATACCTTACCGCTTGGAGATTCGTCTTGGGTCCAATGAACTAGTGAAATGACAAATACCTCTTCCAGATTACTTCGCTCTGCTCGAGAAGCGTCAGACAATATAAAATCTACCCACTATGTTGCCCTCGTCGACGCCGTCCGACAAGAACACGTCCAGGTCGCTAAGGACCTAGTACGAAACCCAGAAATAAAGGAACAGTTGATTAATGCCATTGAAGCCGAATGCACCTACATCTTCAAAATCCTCGAAGCTGCCCAAACCCTCGGCGAAATAACTGCTAAATGTTTGGACAAGGTAATAAGCACGGGAGAGAAGCTAAGCTGTCGAGTGATGGTAGCTTTGCTGGAGGATCACGGCGTCGAGTCGGAATACGTTGATCTATCGGACGTGGTCAGTTTTGCGACAAGTTGCCAATCACTCGACCAAGCGTTTTATGATCGACTAGCGGTTGCGCTGGCCGAAAAGATAAAAGCATGTGGGAATAAGGTACCCGTGATCACGGGCTATTTTGGGCCGGTACCGGGAGGCTTGCTGGAGAAAATCGGCCGAGGCTATACAGACCTGTGTGCCGCGCTTGTCGCAGTCGGTATCAACGCACATGAGCTTCAGGTCTGGAAGGAAGTGGACGGGATTTTCACAGCAGATCCGCGCAAAGTACCCACAGCACGACTCCTGTCGGCCATCACTCCCGCAGAAGCTGCAGAATTGACGTTCTACGGCTCTGAGGTAATCCACCCTTTTACCATGGAGCAGGTCATCCGAGCGCGGATTCCCATCCGGATAAAGAATGTCATGAAACCCAAGGGCAAGGGCACGGTGATTTTCCCAGATCCCGCAGAGCTAGATAAGACAACGGTGGGCCATGACCCGAAGCTCTTCCGTACCCGGAGTTCTAGCGTCCTATCACAGCAGCAGCAGGGTCCGAAACGACCAACTGCAGTAACAGCCAAACATAAGATTCTCGTCATAAACGTTCACTCAAACAAACGGTCATTATCACATGGGTTTTTCGCTGGCATCTTCTCCGTGCTGGATAAATGGCGACTTTCCATCGATCTGATCTCCACCAGCGAAGTGCACGTGTCTTTGGCGCTCCATTCCGAACTACCCTTACTGAACGGCGTTGGTCAAGACGAGTACCAGATTATCGACGAGGATCTTCGAGGCGCCATCCAGGACCTCCGCCGATACGGTACGGTGGACATCATTCCGCAGATGGCGATTCTAAGTCTCGTGGGACGGCAGATGAAGAACATGGTTGGCATTGCGGGACGCATGTTCTCCACACTAGGGGAGCACAATGTTAATATTGAGATGATTTCACAAGGTAAGCAACCACCCACTACCCCCAGAAAACAGGGAGAGCACAGAGGAAAACATCAGTGTTACCGTATCACGCACCCCACTTTGTAGGCATGGCTAACCTTCCCATTTCAAACTACAGGCGCAAGCGAGATCAATATATCCTGTGTAATCGAAGAGAGAGACGCAGACCGTGCTATCAACATCCTCCACACAAACCTCTTTACCTTCCTCGATTGAAACGAAACCTCGGAAAAAAGACACCCCATATACCTCCCCCCTTCTCCAACAAAGGGGGGTGACGACCGCCACCAGAGGCCTGTCCAACCTAACCTCCTGGGATGTATAACCTTTTTATGATACCTATTTTCCCTTGAAACTTATTTCCCATTATTTTATATCCCACCGGAATTTCCTTTTTTTCCTTTTTCGTTTTTCCCATTTCCGCAGCGAGGAGATATGCGGGGAACATTTGCATGCATGACGAGACGAGCACTCCAACGTGAAATATTTTTTTTTCCAGAAAGGAACCTACATGATATTTCGGCCCGCTCCGGTTCCAACAACCGGGTATAGTGGGTCGAAGTATTAAGATCACTCGCACATACACACACGGACGCGCGCACACCCACTACTTACATTTAAACACACACTCCACACACGCATACAGGCGCGCGCACGCGATTATAGAATTCTATTTTTTTCCTGTCTATTTTTTTATTTTTTTATTTTTATTTTTTATTTTTATTTTTATTTTTATTTTTATTTTTTGGGAAGGGTGACGCATGGGATATATAAAAACCACGTCTGGCGTTTATCTTTAATTTCGTTTCATTTCACTTTTTTTTTCATTCCATTTTCCCTTCACGGACATATAGCATGGTATGGCGATTCAAATTCTCGATACAGCACAATGGGAAGGAGTTTGAGATAGCCGAATTTGGGGGGCGAGGGGAGGGAGAGAGTGTCCCATGTCCTAACCACGGCCGAAAAAAAACGAAACACGTCGACGCAACCGCGGCGCAGCTTTTTACAGCGAGCGATGATCCGGGTTGCGTCGCGGGGAAGCAAAGCGGGAGAGGGAGCGGATTTGGATTTGATTGATTGGATTTAGGCTCGGTCACGTCGTGCGTTGCTTGACCCGAAAACTCGGGAAGATTTTCCCACCGCCCGTCTGGGATAAGGTTGCTCCTCGGGATGGGACCCGGATGGATGGAAGGAACCGAGCCAAACTGGTCCAAAAGGAAAAAAAAGAATTTTTTTTTTCCACCATGCATGCAGAGCTTCTTTCGGCTGTTGCCTTGGTCTCCCGAGGCTACAAGCTACCAAGGCGAGTCGGAAAGCATGAGTAAAAGAATAGGAAAAGGAATTTCGCCATCCATGAGCGGGACAAGAAAGGAAAGAAAAAAGAAAAAGGGGACGAAAAAGGAGCCCGAGAGACCACCAATGAACATAGGCTATGCTATGTACAGTACACCCACCCACCTGCAGTTCTTGCATCTCGGTGTATCATTTCTCTTCGTTTCTTATTCTTTATTCGCCTTGCTTGCTTCTAGCAGACCCGGACCAGAGAAAAGAAAAAGGCCAAGATTTGTTTGCCATGGTGAACATGCACAATCGTGCGCCACAAGGTGCATGCATGCATGCATACATACATACATGCATACATGCTTCATGTTTCCCGTTCGGGACGACGACACGAGCGAAATTGTCCAATAATCTACATTTTTTATGTACTCCCCTTATCACATTTCTTCCTGGTTCTTGGAGAGAGGTCGATATGGATATGCATGGGATGGGACTGAACTTGGGAACTTACTATCTAGGATTTAATGTATCTATTCCCCCCCCCCCCCCCCCCTTCCTTACAAAATTTTAATTTATCTTGTACTTTTTTTTTTTTTTATCTTTTTTGATAGGGTTCCCGTTTCCAAAGCATAAGGAAGAAGCATTCGTTTCGCTCCACACCGTCCCATTTTCTTTTTGGCCCCCCCCCCCCCCCCCATCTTGTGGTCTATGGAGTGTCTGATTCTCGAACTAATTAACCTACTCATTTCGTCTGACTGCATTGTTTAATGTCTACTCCCCCGCTCCACGGGCAACG